GCCCCACACGTGAGCTACTGTGACGTGGAGGATACTGAGGAGAGCAAGCATGTGGTAATCGAAGGGAATCTGGGCTTCGTTCCTTCAGATTTCCCATTGCCCCATGAAAAGTGTTGAAACTCGATACCTAGTGGCGAAGGTCTGAGGGAGAAGTTGGAGGTGCACTTTCAGCAAACTTGGTGGTGCGGCACTGAGGGGAAAGAGAGTGTGGAAGTGCAATTGTTAGAGAAGGGAGATCTGAGTCTACTCGGGTGAAAGGAAAGGAGACGTTGAGGAGTAAGGATGGAGGCATTGAAGTGGGTGGGGGTAGAGGATTGATGTCCAGTCCCCTCTGTGACTTATAATAACGAGGCCTTTTACCGGCACATGACCAGATTAAAAAGGGAAAGGTAACGAAGATGGAAAAATATCCTCGAGTCAATATCTTTTTAAATAAGTGAACTCTATCTTCTTTTTAAGAAGCATTAAAATCATCTGAATAATGACTGTAAACAGTTGTTGAGATTAATTACATCCAGGCTCTGTGCTAAAGGCTTTCCCTTTATTCTGCACTAGAATCCTAGGAGGTCCGTACTTTTATTGTTCCGTTTTACAGGTGAGAAGGTTGAGGCATGGAGGAATGAAGTAACTTGCTGAGCCCACACATTTAGTAGGTGGAGGGGCCTGGATGTGAACGGGGGCTGTTAGATTTGGCCGCTTGTGTTCTTAGTCATTGTGCTCTCCTGCTTCCCAACTTGATTTTTGAACTTATCCTGCAGAGTTCAGTGTACAACTGAACAATAGAAGAGGTGCATCTATTAAGAAGTTTTGATACTTCTTAAAAAGTAGAATCCATTTATTTAAAAAAATATTGACACGAGGCTATTTTTACGTCTTCATTATTATAAGTCACAGAGGAGGACTGGACTTATATAAAATCCCAATTTGATTTCCTCAATTAACACTTGACTCCTAGTCCAAATCATATTTTTGCCTATTTTATATCAGAGAAGGAAGACTGTCGCTAAGGCATGTATTTCAGAGGGTTGCGTTGGTCTGAGTGCCTAGCACCGGCTGTGGGAACAGCCTCCTGGACACGGCTGTCCTAGCAGATCTGCCGCCTGCAGAACCTGGGACACAGGGGAGCCCAGGACAGGCTCCCAGGACTGGGGAGTTAGTCAGCAGGGTGCACACTCCCCATCGCCTGAAAATAGCTCTTCCGTCAGCAGCTCTCGTCTAAGGCAGAGACCAACCTGTAGCAGCTGCTCTCGGCGGAGGCATTGCGTGTTGTGAGGACACCTGTGTGTGTCTAATTCCAGCCCAAACAAGTCTCCTTCTGGCTCCCAATGTGGGGAGAGAATTTACCTAAATGGAGGCTACTATTTTCAGTAGAGTGATTTGTCTATCATTTCCTCCCCCTTCACTTGTCTTTTTTTTTTTAAGTATAATTTACATACAATAAAATATGCATATTGTTGGATTTTGTGAAATTTGACAACTTTTATACTCATTCAACCACCAACCAAAAGAAGAGAATTCTCTTCTGTCCCTTCCCAGTCAATTGCCCCTGCCACCCAGGCAACCACTTTCTGAGGTTGAGCTCTTAGATGAGTCTGGCCTGTTTTGCATTTTATGTAAATGAAATCATACAGAAATAGTGTGTTGTTTCTAGCTGCATTGTTGTTTCATCTTTTTTAAAAAGGTATATTTTTATTGATTTCAGAAAGGAATGGAGAGGGAGAGAGAGAGAGAGAAATATCCATGATGAGAGAGAACCATTGATCGGCTGCCTCCTCACACCCCACACTGGGGATTGAGTCCACAACCCGGGCATGTGTCCTGATCAGGAATCGAACCATGACCTCCAGGTTCATAGGCCGATGCTCAACCACTGAGCCCGCCGGCCGGGCGTGGTTTATTCTTACAGTGGGACCCTCTTCAGTAAAAAGGAGTGGACAAGGCCACATACAACAGCACAGATGCATCTCTTCTAGGCTTGTACATTGCACTCTGCAGGATTCATTCACCTCGTATTATCTTTGCATCCGTAGTAACCAAAGTGACCCACAGAATCAGCTTCTGCTACTTGCCTTTCATCGTCCACGATTGCCAGCTTCGTTTTCATCCCTCTCTCACCTCTGACAATGAAACGTCATGTCGTTAGAACGTGGCCAGTTTATACTCAACCAATGGGCTACCACGGTCATGACTCTTAAAGGAATTTAAAACAGTGGAGTGGTTCTTTTTTAAAAGGAAATATGTTAGACATGTGACATGGTATCTCCTTAGTATGTTCACGTGTCAGAAGTAGAAGAAGCATGGAGGCAGCCCCCGCCCCTCGTGGGTGGCTGTCCGGCGGGCCCGGATGCGCATTTCATGGCTACTGCATGCTGCGTGCTGTGCACTTTTCATTGTCATGAGAGGGAATGTTAGCACAACCGTCCCCACAAGAAAACAGCTTTTCTTGGCAAGTGGAACATGACTGAAGGAGCCAGCACTGGAGACATACGGTACCATGAATGAGAGCTGTGTTCCTTTATTGGAACCGAGTCCAGGCACTATTTATACTGCAGCATATTCAGCACCAGATTGTTCAAGCTTAATACTGAAACAGTGCATCATTTTAATATTTTTGTTCTGTTTACCCCCTGTTTTCAAGCATTATGTCAAGCATTGCGCACTCATTTACTTCATCTTGGACAGGACGTGGCCTGACCAGGGAGTTCACCTCCTATTATTGGGATTTCACCCCATAGCTAGAAGGCGTTATTTTGTGAAGCTTTTAAACATTCACTTGAGTATGTAGGTGTCCTCTCTCTCTGATAACACAAATATTTTTTAAAAGAACAGTGTATTTGGACTTACCTGTATTGTCAAAACTAAAAGTAAAAACGCTGTGTTACTTCTATCACTAATGAGAGAGAGAGAGAGAGAGAGAGAGAGAGAGAGAATTTCTAAAGGCCTGGGACCATTTGATTTTTCATAGCACACAAATAAAATTTTCATTACTCTGTGTTTGTGAAATGAGTTTTTCTTTATTTTTTCCTCTTTAATGTTACGTGTGCCCAGAGAAGATGGGTCCAGCTTAAGAGGAAATTAGCATTTTCAGGACATGCTGCCGAAGCTGTCTCGTGAACCCTCCTGTGACAAGGGTATCCCTAATATCGCTGTTCTATGAAGCCTGAGCTTGACCAGGATTTTATTCTCTCTCCGTTGTCCTGTGTGTGCCGTCTGTCATGGGAACCCACAGGGAAAGGGGACCATTGTCATTCTGAAAGAACTGAGGAGCCTGGCCGGCTGGCTCAGTGGTTGAGCATCGACCTATGAACCAGGAGGTCATGGTTCCATTCCCGGTCAGGGCACATGTCTGGGTTGTAGGCTGGATCCCCAGTGGGAGGCATGCAGGAGGCAGCGGATCAATGATCCTCTCTCATCATTGATATTTCTCTCTCTCTCACCTTCTCCCTTCCTCTCTGAAATCAATAAAAATATTTAAGAAAAAAGATAAAAAGTGCTGAGGCATTAGAAAAGAAGGAAGTTGAAGGCACGTCTGCTCTTTGCGATCTGTGGTCAGCCCCTGTGCTGTTGGCGAACACCCCCTCTGCCCGGTGCAGTGCAATCTGGGCATGAACTCGAACTGCTCCGTCAGCTCCGAGCGCCGCTCACCCTGGGCTCACACCACAGTCAGGATGTGACGGTGTCTGTGCCGAGCCCACACGCAGGAATTTTCTTGTACAATTCCAGACCAGATCTCCTATTTACTTAAGGCTTGCTTTTTTTCTCTCTCTCTCTCTCTTCTGGTCTATGAAATCAGCAGTCTGGTATATTTAGCCTCCGGCTTAAGTTAGAGTGTGAATCGAGACTTTGGGGGAAGGAAGTGTCCTTATGGTTTGCTAAGTAATTTAAGAAACAGGAAAACATGAAATAACCGATTGTCCGTGATTGAACCTCATCCCTTTCTTCTCCTCTTCCCCGGGGCGCTGGCTCACTCCACCGTCGGCCAGAACGAAAGGGGTTATTGCCCTGGGCTGTAAAATTTCTCCCAGTGGGGCCTTGCCTGTTGACTCTGGAGTGACCTTCTTCACCGCGAACAAACAGCGGCAGGTTTAATAAATGGCAGAGAGGTGTTTATGATGTTTCTCTTCCCCGCGCAGGAATAATCAAGCTGGGCAGGTGGAACCCGCTCCCGCTCAGCTATGTGACCGAGGCCCCCGACGCCACGGTGGCCGACATGCTGCAGGACGTCTATCACGTCGTGACGCTGAAGATCCAGCTGCAGAGGTGGGTCCGCATGTCTGTCCTCGCGCCTGTCCCTCCGTCAGGGCGTCACCCCGGAGCCCAGCGCGTCTGTCTGTGCGAGTGTGAAATGGGAAAAAGAGAGAGAGAGAGAGAGAGAGAGAGAGAGAGAGAGAGAGAGAGAGTGAGCAGGCGCGGAGGGGCCTTCCCCAGGCATCTTTATCCTCCACATTCCAGCCGGGTTAGGGTTTGTTTTCAGAAGCAGCGGAGTGGTAACCCGGGGAAGGGAAGCTGACAAATCATTACAGATCTGCGGCCCATAAGGGGAGGTCCCTGCCGCCCTGCTCCCATGGGTCCTCCTGGGAAATGCTTGGAGGATGAAATACCTCCCCGGTCTCAGGTTTGTGTGCTGAGGGGTGAGTGTTCTGCCGTGGGAGAGACTTACTAAAAATCCCCGGCACTGGATGCCTCTTCCCCTCTTCCTCTCTCTGATGGGCTGCAGAGATTCTGGGAATGGTGACTGTCTCCCACTCCCCCCCACCCCCCATACAGCATCCAGAACAAATGGTGCCTCTTTCAAAGACTCCAGAGCAGTGGTTCTCAACCTTGGCTGCACATGAGAATCACCTGGGAATCTTTTTAAAATCCTGATTTCTGGGCCTCATCCTCCAGAAATTCTGTTTCTTTGCTATGGGGTGGGGCCACAACATGAGTAACAAAGAAACAGAATTTCCGGAGGATGAGGCCCAGAAATCAGGATTTTAAAAAGATTCCCAGGTGATTCTCATGTGCGGCCGAGGTTGAGAACCACTGCTCTGGAGGCCCTCTGCAGAGCCTGCTCCTGTGCATGCCTGCGAGTCACGTGATTTCAACCCTGTCCTGTAGTGTGAAGGCTTTGGATTTGCTGCTTTCGGAGAACCTGTGCTCTGACAGGAGCACCGATAGCTTTGGTGTCTTCTTTTAAAAGTTCTGTTTCGGGGAGGAAAGCCACATCTCTGCATCATTCTGTGAGAGTGAAGGTTGGGCTTTTAAACTTCAAGTCTGATGGAGCATCGCTTGACATTTAGCCTTAGGGAGGCCCAGTCATTCCATTTGTATCCTGGAAGTTTATACTCCCACGGCCACACCACTTCCTTCAGCAGATGAGGGAAATCTTATTTTTAAAAATTAGCAAAAGTCCAAAGGGGCTTTTTCTCTCAGGCTAGCGTGAGCAACTGCTGGGCTCTGTCAGGGGCCTAGAGAAGCCGGTTTCTGCCCCCCTTCCCTATTTGGGGCCCACACTGGGTTTCATTCTTTAGCAGTTTTACTTTTAAAAATATATATATTTTTATTGATTTCAAAGAGGAAGGGAGAGGGAGAGAGACATAGAGACATCAATGATGAGAGAGAATCATTGACTGGCTGTCTCCTGCATACCCCCTACTGAGGATCCAGCCTGCACCCCGGCCATGTGCCCTGACCAGGAATCAAACCATGACTTCCTAATTCATAGGTTGACACTCAACCACTGAGCCACGCAGGCCGGGCCTTTAGCAGTTTTTCTAGTGCTGCCATGGGGCCGGGAGGGACCCATACCTCTGCAGTCAGGCCCTTCATTAAGGTTTGCCTGTTCCTTCTCGCTGTGTTTTCCAGTTGCTCGAAGTTGGAAGACTTGCCCGCGGAGCAGTGGAACCACGCCACCGTCCGCAATGCCTTAAAGGAACTGCTCAAAGAGATGAACCAGAGCACACTAGCCAAAGAATGCCCTCTCTCCCAGGTCAGTATCCCGGGGGTGGGGGAACGGGGAACGGGGAATGCCACGGGGGACCATCCTGCGGGAGGGCACACCGGCTTCGACAGCTGTGTTTTATTTATAGAGTCGCACTGCATTTTGGTTGGAAAACTATGGAGATTGTGGTGCTTTTTGTTGTAGCATAGAAGATACCAGTCACTGAAAGCTTTGATGTAGTGGGAGTGTATTACAACCTTCTACATCTACAATCTTTATCTTTTCATTTGTATTCTAGAAGGTAGGTATCAGTGTCTCCATTTTATAGATGAAGAAATCCAGGGAGAAGCACTCGACCTGCCTGAGCTTGGTCGGCTGGTTCAGTGACACACTGAGCATCACCTGCCGGCGCTCAGGTTCCACATCACTGCATTACCTGCTCAGTGGACTGAGTTAGCCACGCCCCACCCACCTTTATTTATTTCTGTTTACTTATTGTCTAGCAGAGAGGTGATCTGTGCATCACACACATTTGTCGGGATTTTGTAGTGAATTCACCGGGCGGAAGTGCACTGGGAGAAGAAGTGATGCTGCACTTCTAGTGACCTGGTCGTAGACCAAAACCAGAGACTGAGAGGATCGCAGGGGGAAGCAGCAGAAAAAAGGGCTGCTTCTCCGTTTGTGTCCATGGGCAAGGCCCCACTCTTCTGAACGATGAGATAACATGTTGGTGGCCAGAGGCACTGGCTTAGAACCGTGGCGACATGAACTCAGGTTGAGATGAGTTAAAGCCACTCCTGGAAGTCCACTTCCCGGTGTGAGTTGCTACACTTGGTGTAAGACAACAGGTTACTTACCTGCCTGTGAAGCTCACGGGAAGGTGATGCAAACCGTAGAACCGGAGCTGGTTCTGGGATGATGGAATCTTGGGGAGAAGCAGGGAGCCTGGTGGTTCAGAGCGTGTCTTCTGGAGGCAGGTGGATCTAGATTCATGTCTTGGCTTATGTCCTCTATGACCTCACCTTTATGAGCCTATTTCTTTGTAAGCGAAACCAGGATAGAAATATTCTAAGTCATAGAGTGAGAGCTATTTTGGCCTGCTACATGGTATGCAGCGATGTTCTATGAACAGTATCAGCTGTTATGATGGAGACATCATATTGTTGGAGTGAACAATTTTTTTTGTGTGTGTCTTGGGGTGTGTTTTAGTATTTAGACCCTCTGAGACAAATCATACTATTCATGTTTTTGCTCCCAAAATATCAGGGAGGCATGCATCTGAGTAGTAGGCAGCTAGCCAGAAAGGGAGGGGCACTAGTCTTCCTGATCTGCTCTTGAAACCATTGCACAGGTTGGTGAATGAAGTGAGTCAACCATGTCAGACCCATCTTTATTTATATGTATTTATTGCGCCCTTCCCCTGTCTCGCAGAGAGGTGGTCTCTGCATCATACACATTTGTAGGGATTTCGTAGTGAATACTCCAGGTAGAAGTGCATCTGGAGAAAGAGCGATACTGCATGTTAAGTGAACTGATCATAAACCGGTACTGTGCCTGCATTGGTGCTTACCGTGCACACCCAGGCCATTTCAGTGCCTACCTGTAGGGATGTATGCAGGTGCTAAGGCTGTTGCTAGAAATTTGATTTATTCCAATGTGATAGCTCATGAAGTTATAAAAAATAATTATTCTTGAATTATTCTGATCATACGCAGGGACTGAATAAAGAGCAGCTTAGGAAAAGAACTTTCAATCATTTGTCTTGATTTCACAATTAGTCACAATGAATTGCCTCTTGGATTTACGTACATGGAAGTCAGAATGGGCTTTGCCTGGAGGAGGACAAGCTCCTAACTTAAGTATCACCAACTCAGAGTTTTATCCAGGGCTTTTAAGGCCGATGGAAATTTGGCCCAAACTGATCTATCATGATGATCAGGCCTGATTATAACTATGACATGTGACTGGAGAGAGGGCAAGAGTGGAAAGAACCCAGAGCAGAGGCCGAGAGCCCTGAGCCCCGAGGCCTGTTCTTTGATGCCGGGCGCGCGATCCTGGCGAGGCCTGCGCTCCCCGAGCTCCATCAGACTCTTCTGTCAGTGCGACATGATCCTGTGGACACATCTTCCGTCCTTCACAGGGCTGCCTGGAGGTTCACATGACATCATCTCTGCTCCTGCTGTAAACAGAGCTCTCTCTCCATTTTCCGTGCCCATTGCTCGTCCACCTAGTTGCCTAACCTGAAAAGTTTCTTCTCTCATGTTTGAGCCTGTGGGTCCCACTGCCTCCACGTCGAAAACCGTCCTCCTTTGTGCCAGGGCCTTGTTGAGACTTCCCTCACCTCTCCTCTGAGATTCTTTAAGTTGTCATGTGTCATGACTTTTCTCCTGCCCCCTGCTGCTCCAGCCCTACTGCAGGCCATCTCCTGCCATGTAACCCTCCCGTCATCTCCGCCCCCTTCCCACACCCGGTCTGTCAGTAGCACAGACTCTGTAGCATGGCCTCTGAGAGCCATCGGAAGGCTGTCCACCTGACCTCCCACCAGAGCCATCTGCCCCCTCTACCTGCACCTGCTCTGTGCTCCAAACACATGGCATTAATAATTTGGAACATTGGCCATGGTTCAAACTTCACCAAAATATTCCTGAAGTGGGAGAAAGCGAACTAGTACCCTTGTACTTTGTGAGGTTACCAAAGTATCTTGTGTTATTTTTTTAAAAAATGTTTTCATTGATTTTTTTTTTTTTTTTTTTTAGGGAGAGGGGCAAGTAGAGGGATAGACAGATAGAAACATCGTTTGGTTGCCTCCTGCATGCCCCCTACTGGAGATCAAGCCCGCAACCCGGGCATGTGCCCTGACCTCTTAGTTCATGGGTTGACGCTAACCGCTTAGAACACCGGCTGGGCGTCTTGTATATTTAAGAAAAAATGTTATTATTGATTTTAGAGAGAGAGGAAGGGAGATGGAGAGAGAGAAAGAGAAACATTGATATGAGAGAGAAAAACATCAATGGGCTGCCTCCTGCATACCCCTTACTGGGGATCGAGCCCACAACCCTGGACACGCCCCAGCAGGGAATCGAACCTGTGACCTTTTGGTGCATAAGACAAGACTCAACCAACTGAGCCACACCGCCCAGGGCAGCTTCTTGTGTTATTTTAAAAATTCACACCAAGTTTATATTCTGCTCAATATACCGGTGTTTTTGATATTTAAAAAAAAAAGCCTTGGAAATCACTACCTGTAAAATTGCTAACCGTCTCCCATGCTTGTGGGACTGGCCCTTTAGGAGATGCACCGGGTTGGCCTCTGGCTCTGGCAGCCCTTGCACACACCTGCTGATGGCCCGGGGTCACCGTTCGCTCTCGCACGTGCTTTCCCCAGCGTGCACTGCTCTCTCCTGGTGAAATCTTTCAAATCCCCGTGGAAAGTCAGCGCTGGGGCAGGACTCTGACCTCCGCTTGAAGTATGGCTTCTGCTCTCGGTAGTCTCCGCACACCCCTCTGTCCCGGCGCTAATCCTGGCCCACTGTCCTGGGGTCTGCCTGTCCCATCACGGATGAACTGCCCACAGTCGCAGACACCAATGGGAACATGTTTATCGTCATGTCCCCATTCAGCACAACGTGTTTCTTCCCCGTAGCTGAGGCTCTAAGGCTGGAGTTCACCTCAGCCCTATTGACCTTCTGGGCTGGCCCCGTCTTGGTGGTGGGGCTGTCCGCGTGTTGTAGGATGTCTAGAGCATCCCTGGCCCCCACCCCCTAGATCAGTAGTTCTCAACCTTCTGGCCCTTTAAATACAGTTCCTCATGTTGTGACCCAACCATAAAATTACTTCCGTTGCTACTTCATAACTGTAATGTTGCTACTGTAACGAATCGTAATGTAAATATCTGATATGCAGGATGGTCTTAGGTGACCCCTGTGAAAGGGTTGTTTGACCCCCAAAGGGGTCGCGACCCACAGATTGAGAACCGCTGCACTAGATGCTAGTAGCATCCCTCTCCCTCCCCCACCCCCATTGTGACAACCAGAATGTCTCCAGACATTGCCGGGTGCCCTGTGAGGGAGCACTGTCACTCTCTCGTGAGAACCACTGCTCTGACGGTGTAAAGAATTCAGGATGGTCCAGCGGGTGTGGCTCAGTGGTTGAGTGTCGACCTATGAACCAGGAAGTCATGGTTCAATTCCCAGTCCGGGCACATCCCCAGGAAGTCATGGTTCAATTCCCAGTTGGGGCACACGCCCAGGTTGTCGGCTCAATCCCCAGTGTGGGCCGTGTAGGAGGCAGCAGACAAGTGATCCTCTCTCATCATTGATGTTTCTCTCTCTCTTTCTCACTCCCTTCCTCTCTAAAATAAATAAATAAACAAACAAGTAAATAAATAAATGAAGAGTTGAGTAGAAAAGTGTTGTGGAAAGTGCTGTGCGATGTAAGGGTTTAGTAATGTGACAGTGTCCTTGGCAGCCCTGCAATGTCTTCAACTAGCCACAGTGACTGCAGTCAGCTAATAGGTGATGCCCAGCATAGTTGTAGTCAAGCGGATTGGGAATGCTGTTTAGATTTGGGGGGATTTGACTTGGGCTTCTGGTGTGCTGTGTGATTTTGATTTCAAAGGGGGAGTCCTCAGCCAGCATAGGCACGGAATGTGGGCCCCTCCCTAGTCCTGCAGGTATTACCCTCACATGCCCCAGATTGTTCACCTGCGTCACATGGCTGGACTGCATTTAGACAACCTCACTTATTCTGTTGGAGGTTGCAGTAGAAGAGGTGCAGTGGATTGATTTCTTGAAGTTCAACCTGTGGAACATGAAAAAGAACGCATTTCTGTTCTAAGAAGGTGAAAAGGTAATTGAGCAGTGCACTCCACCAGCATGTGGAGCCCTGAGTAAGCGCCTGGCACTTTGCGGTGGGCTGGGGATATGGTGGTGACGATGGGGACCAAGCCTTCTATCTAGGAGGAGGAGAGCGAAGCACACAGCACTACTTGCTTCAAAGGTGAAAGGTTGGCTATTGGGATATTTAAAATAGACTCCACTCATGAGTAA